TATGGAGGAGATCTTTATCAGCAGGAGAAGCTGTAAAAACTATGAACATACAGTTAAAAGTCCTAAATGTGTGCCCTTGTTTACATTTTCCAAAGATGCCCAGTGGGCTGGATTTAAGTCTTTGCCAGGATAATTCTGGTTCTGGCCCTCGGGCCTTATGTTTGACACCCTTGATTTAGACACATTTAAAGCCCGGTGCATATGTTAGACGAATATATCAGCAGGTCTCCAGCTGATTAAGATAAAAGTGAGTCTTTAGCAGATTAACTGGAGCCCAACAGTCTCATCCTGTTCCCTGCTTCCCCTCCCGGTTCTCCTCTGTCTTTCTGATTCACATGTACATGATATTCCAGTCTACATAACCACTGGAATATCCATTGGAACAAGGCTTAGCAACACACCTTCCCTTGACTCTGGCTTTACAAATGTCAGTTCAGTTCAACCTTCCACTTAATTTGATTTGAGTCTCTTTTCCACCCGCACACTGTTTGCAGACATTTAAAACCTCATTTTGATTGACTGGGGAATCAAGCACCACGTGTTCATGTTAACATGTTTAATCAAGCCTCAAATACAAAGCTCATTTCCCCTGCATGGATCTAGAGGCAGCAGATGTTTCTCGTGCCACCTTTTTAAAAGGATTCACTACTTGCAATGATTTGTCTCATAAAACAGAAACAAGAACATTGTAGTTTTGTGGATTTTTATGTAATAATTATTTCTTCTTATTTTTTTCACCACGTGTCTCTCCCCTGTGTGTTTCTAGATGTATTACGGACCTCTTCAGCTTGCATACCAGTACATAGATAAATACTGGTGAGGGAACTAGCAAATATTACGGGGGAGGGGGGTGCCAGATGGAAAAAACTCCAATTTGATGTCCAGAGCGAGCATTACAATGAGCTATGAAATGTACATCTGACACAAGGACATTTCAACAAACCTGCAGTTAGAGAAGATTTACACCCAGCTGTGATATTCTGCAGGCACTCACTGTTTGTAGTAATACAATTCAAATAAACAGCATGCTCGATAAACATCAGTGTGTTAGTAAGCTGACATTAGCAGTTGTACCAAAGTGGTCGTGCCTAATTAGCTTCAAGGTTGCCAGCAATTTCTTGAGACCAACAAGAGATGGTGGTCTTTGACTTGCAGCATGGTGGTAATTCTCCTCTGAGTCATGCCAACATAAATGGGATTTAAGTTAGCCATTTATATTTTTTTCCAGGGCTAACAAATAAAGCCAATAAGGAAGAACTAATAATTGCAATTCCTCTGGTGGCCACTTAAGGCAAAAACCTGTCAGTCCCCATAGACTCCCATGTTAAAATTTCCAGAGCTCCAGCAGAGCAGTCATTATGGACACGTGACACTGTCAGGCCAAGTGAATATGCCTAGACACACAATCCTGACCATCTGTGTGTCTAGGGCTAGTCCTGACCATCAAGCAATCACCGGTTGCTAGGGGAGAATTTATATTTCATGGCCAGTTGACCAGTGGTGTCTGGAAGTTGTTGGCAATAAATCTGAAGACAAGTGCTAAAGCCACTATGCAAAAAATGCGTGAGATGTTGTTTGCTGTTGCTGTGTGAAATTGGCCACAAAGAAGTATACAGTACTGCCCCAAAAGCCTTCTTGCAATTACTTTGGTCACTAATAGGTCGCCAGAAATACCAATTGTCTGCAAAGCTGTCTGTGTGTTGGACCTGTGAAGTCTACGATTCACCTTACTTACCAGATTTGCTAGCATTAGTTGATAACCTAGCAAACCACAATCTCGTTCAAAAATGTGCATCTTTTAGCGATTTTTATTATTAATGCTGAAAGACACCAGTCACTTAAGGTTAGGAAAATTCAGAATACTTTAAGAATATAATGGAATTGTGCCAATTTAGAAAGTCCAAGCAGAACACCAAAAACTGTTTGTCCAAAATGCACGTAAAAGGCTTTCAGAGGAAATGTTTATTCTAAAGTTCTAAGAGGTAACGTAAGAGGTTCACCTATAGTTTCAT